AAAAACATATAGTAAGTGTCAAACGAAACATATAGTAAGTGTAAAACACTAAGTAAGTGTAAAACGAAACATAAAGCAAGTGTAAAACGAAACATATAGTGAGTGTCAAACAAAACATATAGTAAGTGTATAACGAAACATATAGTAAGTGTAAAACACACAGTAAGTATAAAACGAAACATATAGTAAGTGTAAAACGAAACATATAGTAAGTGTAAAACAAAACATATAGTAAGTGTCAAACAAAGCATATAGTAAGTGTAAAACGAAACATATAGTAAGTGTGAAACACACAGTTAGTGTAAAACGAAGCATAAAGTAAGTGTAAAACAAAATATATAGTAAGTGTCAAACAAAACATATAGTAAGTCGAAACATATAGTTAGTGTAAAACGAAACATATACAGTAGTAAGTGTAAAACAAAACATACAGTAAGTGTAAAACGAAACATATAGTAAGTGTAAAACACACAGTAAGTGTAAAACGAAACATATAGTAAGTGTAAAACGAAACATATAGTAAGTGAAAAACGAAACATATAGTAAGTGTAAAACGAAACATATAGTAAGTGTAAAACGAAGCATAAAGTAAGTGTAAAACAAAATATATAGTAAGTGTCAAACAAAACATATAGTAAGTGTAAAACGAAACATATAGTAAGTGTCAAACAAAACATACAGTAAGTGTAAAACGAAACATATAGTAAGTGTAAAACACACAGTAAGTGTAAAACGAAACATATAGTAAGTGTAAAACGAAACATATAGTAAGTGAAAAACAATACATATAGTAAGTGTAAAACGAAACATATAGTAAGTGTAAAACGAAACATATAGTAAGTGTAAAACGAAACATATAGTAAGTGTAAAACGAAACATATAGTAAGTGTAAAACGAAACATATAGTAAGTGTAAAACGAAACATGCAGCAAGAGAAAAACGATTCATTAATTGATAAACTAAACATTCACTGTAAAACGAATATACAGCGAAAAACGAAACATACAGAGGAAAAACGAAACATACAGTGAAAATCGCACAGTTTAAAAATCAGTATTTATTGTTAGTGTAATGGTTTCATGTGTTTACATATGAAAATATCTGTTCGATAAATCGTTATGATGTTTATGGGGAGGAGTAAGTTTGTATGACAACTTCCACACAGAAGTTTACGTAATACCGTACAATAAGTATCATTTTCAGAGATTATAGACAAAACAAGAGACCTGATATTGCTCTGCGTATCGTGAGCAAGTTTAAAAGATAGAAATCACGTTCGACTATACCGGGATGTAAATTTCATGCAAAACAACTAACACATTTAAATTTTTTTCAATTATTGAGCTTTTATAGGCACTATACAATATGGGTTTTGCTTATTTGTTGAAACCGTAATATGACTTGAAATTGTTAGCATTCTTGTCTTTTGGTCTTTAATGGTTAGTTTTTCCCTATTGGCAGTTGTTCCTCGTCTCCTTATTTTTATGTTCAATAGTCACCATTTTATGTAAACTGATTGAAAGGCAAGAGGTCTTTAAATAAAACTTTAAATTAGCGTGATAAGATAGAAAATTGAATAGAAAGGAGGGAAACCATTTGTGAATCAGATGAAACAATCCTTTGTTTCTCAAATTATTAGAATTTTATTTGTCTTTTCGATGTTTTTAGTTGGTTTTTTTCCATGTTATTGTTGAATTTTCTTTGACTTATGACTTTGAGTTAACCTTTTAGGTATCTCCCGCCTCTATGTCAATATAAAAATATAAGTCATGGGATACCGTTCCATGGGATTCTGTTCATCTTTGATATAGGTATTTTGATTGAAAAAAGTGTATACTAAGCCAATATTATAGGAAATAGAATGATAGAATTCATACGAATCATCTTTTCCACAAAACCTCTTTCAAGCAAGAAGATGTGAATTAAGTTATCAAAATCAGTTTGACGATACTCAAGAGGACTAAGACAATTATGGTGTTATAAATTTTAAATCAGATCAGAAGTTTCTTTGATGATACAAAGTTATCGTCCATTCAGCACCCATCTTTGATGTACAGCAAATTTAGATTCATTATTAATGAAAGGCTTAAAATTATGAGAATTTTGTTATAATGCCTTATTATTTGATGGACTGCTAACACCTTTTGGTAAAATATAAAAATGGATTAAAATCTCCGTAAGTACGCTATTGTGTAGCTGTGTAAATGGTGCGATGAATATTTCCATTGTGAGGTCGTCTGAATATCTGGTTTTGATACAAAATTCGAGATCAAAGTTGTCTTCCTTTCAGCATGAGTCTTTCATGTATGGAGCACATTTCGATTTCTTATCGCTTAAAAGCTTTACAAAATAGTTTTTTTTTGTATAATGCCTTATTATTCTATGGCAAAATAAAACTGTTGTGTCAAGTTTTAAAAAGGTATACACATCTTCATATAAACGTTGCACCTTGACAAGGTGTAGCTGTCTCATTGAAAATTAAACCACGTCTCTTTTCAGCTAATCCAGCCAGTGAACCATGCTTAATATTGCCATTACTTGACATCCGTCGTCGTCGTCTGATATAAACTTTTCTCTTGATCAGTTGACCAAATTCAACCAAACTTGATCTGAATGATCTTTCAGGTATTTAGAAAAAAATTGTGTTTCCCCTTCTTAACCAACCATGAATGGATGGCGCCGTTTCTATAGGTAGAACATAATCACAAAAGGCCAAGAGTTACATAATATCTTGAAACCTATCATATATAGATAGAGAATATTTTACTTTGACAAAAAGTCTCATAATGTCGAAATGTTCATAAAAATGAGAAAAGGTAAACAGCATAAAAAACTAACAACAAATGAAATAACAAATAACTAAAATATTTACTTATAGTAGTTAATGCCTTCAATAAGAATATTCCCGAAAATTTTGTCTTTTTTACCTATTATCTTGAAAACTATAATAGAAAAACAGAAACTGTAAATCAATGATAAGAAGTATAATATTTGCAATAATCACAAATGACTCCATTAACATAATTTCCCTTAAAAGGGACTTGGGGAAATGACGATTCGCTTGATTCTAAAAGGAACAAGACCGATACTTAGATATAAGAAGATGTGGTATGAGTGCCAATGAGACAACTCTCCATCCAAGTCAAAATTTATAAAAGTAAACCATTATAGGTCAAAGTACGGTCTTCAACACGGAGCCTTGGCTCACACCGAACAACAAGCTTTAAAGGGCCCCAAAAATTACTAGTGTAAAACCATTCAAACGGGAAAACCAATGGTCTAATCTATATAAAAAACGAGAAACGAGTAACACTTATGAACCACATCAACAAACGACAACTACTGAACATCAGATTCCTGACTTAGGACAGGTGCAAACAATTGCAGCGGGTTTAAACGTTTTAATGGTACCAAACCTTCACCCTTATCTGAAACAATAGTGTAACATCACAACATAGAAAAGCACACTATAAAATACTGTATACATGTCTCCTGCTATATAAATAAGAAGATGTGGTATGAGTGCCAATGAGACAACTCTCCATCCAAGTCACAATGTATAAAAAAGTTAACAATTATAGGTCAAAGTACGGCCTTCAACACGGAGCCTTGGCTCACATCGAACAACAAGCTATAAAGGGCCCCAAAATAACTAATGTAAAACAATTCAAACAGGAAAACCAACGGTCTGATATATATGAAAAAAAACGAGACTCCTGACTTGGTAGTATACCGCTGTTCAAAAGTCACAAATCGACTGAGAGAAAACAAATCCGGGCCACAAACCAAAACCGATGGAAACACATCAACCACAAGAGGAAAACAACGGAAGAACAGAAACCCTGAAGTGCAACAAAAACAAACGCCAACGCAACACACATAGAAACGAACTATCTGATAACAACTGCCATATTCCTGACTTGGTATATATATACAGGACATATTAAGAACAAATGATGGATTGAACCTGGCTTTATGGCTAAACAAACCTTTCGCTTGTATGACAATGTTAAACGTTTTGAACAGGCGCCAACCTTCACCCTGACCTGAGACAGTAGTGTAATATTACAAAACAAAAAGATACATGAATGCATCACCCGCCAGGCGGTTCCCCCTTCAGTCAAAAGGTCACAATCATGAAAAGGACACAATCGATAAAATTACAGATAAAAGAACTATTCTGGTATCTAAAAATTTAGGATTGCCAAAACTTGTCCCTAGTGAGTTTATGTAGTGTCGATTTCGGCCGTTGAAAGCTATAACAGATATAAAAAAAGTATTAAACATCAAAAAGTTCAGCTAAGTCATAGAAATTGATGATTTTTGATAATGTTTAGCGTTTGAGCCTTATCTCGAAAACAATAATAGAAAGAAGTTAAAAACTGAACACTGCAGGAATATTCAGAAATACAAGGCCTACAAAAATACCAATATGACTGAAACCATCAATCAACTTCTTATATAGATTACTTCCCTTGAATTATATTTTATGACCCATTTCTGCCTTTTTTACCCAACTGGTTGAACACTAATATATAGTCTTAAAAGCCGGAATTTACTTTCATTTTTATTTTTTCGACCAGAGGACCATTGGCCTTCTTTGACAGACTACTATCGATTTGACCGTTTCACAATGTAATGTATCTCATCTCAACTTTTTTTAGTTCATTTTAATCATTAACAAAAACGTGTTTGTTGGCTAAAAATTGAAAGAAGCTATTGCAGGTAATGACAGGTATATAATTGTTGATTGATCTGATTTTAGATAAGGAATCAACACACTTTTTATTTTGTCAGTCACGAAGCCCTGCATACTCACAATCGTATTAATCAAATATAATATACATAGCTTTCAAATTGTCAGCATATATCACAGAAAATTATCGACTTAATTTATAAGAATATAATAACATAACACATGTTTAATAAGCAAATGAAATATTTAATGATAATATGATACATAAAACAATGAATGTAATGATCCTTTGTTTACTGCTTTAGGTCTTTCATTCATGTTAATCTTTGGAAGCAGGTTCTGCATCTTTATAAATTTATCAATTCTAGTAAATGAAAGGTATGACCACTCTCCTATGTTTTGACCATGGTCCCATTTATTACGAGTGTTTAATGATAACAGAAACTTTGATGCGTACTAGAAATCGGCTATGTTGTACTCCATTTCCTCTTGTAACCTGAAATTACATAAAAAAGTAAATTAACAAAAATACCGAACTCCAAGGAAAATTCAAATTGGAAAAGTCCCTTATTAAATGACAAAATCAAAATATCAAACACATCAAACGAATGGAAACAACTGCCGTATTCCTGACTTGGTACAAGCATTTCCGTATGTAGAAAATGGTGGATTAAACCTCGTTTTATAGCTAGGTTAACCTCTTACTTGTGTGACAGTCACATAAAATTTCATTATATTGACAACAATGTGTGAACAAAACAAACAGACGTAATAGGTGAAAATGTCAAAAATAGGGGTACAGCAGTCAACATTGTATCCTTATCTTGATCACTTTAAAGTCACCTTAAATTCAAATATCAATACTTTTTGTTTTGTATCTTTAATTACTCTTTTTGGTTTCTTGGTGGAGGGTGGTCACATTGGCAATTATACCACATCTTCTAATTTTCATACGATACCAAGTAAAAAATTCGGGAGGAATTAGGAACAAATGCAGATATACAGGACAGCTTGGAAATTAGAACAAAAAGAGTACTTAGAAAACAAACAAAAAATCAGATTTCAGATATTTTATCCGTACCGATAGTGTTGGTATTTATTATTGCAGCATTTTGATTTTCAATTTTGTTTGAAAGATTTGAACATTTGACCCTACTCTTTCCAAAGTCATTTCACCAATAAGGATAAAGCAGTATTAGCCACAAAACTAACATTCACCGAAATATCGTTCAAAAAACTTCTCATATCTATGTAAATATGTCCGAAAGAAGACGAAGATACAAAGATGACATTGAAATCTATAATTAAATGAAAAACTGACAATGCCATGACAAAAAAGAAAAACGACGAAAAGTCAAACAATAGTCTAAAAACCACGTGCAACACAGAAAACTAGTCTGAGCAACACGAACCCAGCTGAACGTTCCAGGGATGATCTCAGGTACTCCGGCAGGGTAAGTGGATCCAGTTCTACACATGTCACCAGATAAGCATTGTATCTCCGAAAGTCATGCAAAACATTATATATGTGAGATTGAAAAAAAAACAATTTATACTTTTGTTCGGTAAGTTTGAATAGTAAGAGGTTTTCATCAGTTGTTGACATTAGCAATCTCGATTTATATATTTATTTTATGTTTGTCTCGCTGTGAATCGGTGTTTGGTTGACAATCAATCCACATCACCTTATTCTAATACTCCTAATGATCTATTGGAACTTTACCATTAATGTTTTTGTACAAAAACGAATAATAAAATTATTAATAACTAATTTTAACACCATTCTAAAATGTACCTACCGTTTTGATTTTTCACACATGCACATGTTTCTGAAGGAGTATATTGTGTGGATAACAACAAAGACTGAGCAAAAAATTGCAACTATCGAAGGAACAAACCAAGCCATGTTTGAAGCATGTTTGAAGAAAGTGTAGTAAAATATTTTACTTTGAACAACAACTACTGGTGCCACTTTTGTTGTTGTAGGAATTAGTATTTTGACTGACGTTTTATCCTGTTTACCACCAGTATCAACACAGAAGATTTTGAATGTTATTAACGATCCCTCTTGATAATCACTCAATGTGTTGTTTAGTTTTATTGTACCATTATCAGACACTACAAATATACTAGCGTTTAAATTGTCTTGTTTCACATGGTAAAAAAAAGTACCTGTAAAATAAGAACTTTGATATTAATAATAAGAAGTGAAAAATTCAATAGTCAATAAACGTTTTATATTTATTCATTCATGGTATACTATAGCTATTTATCGTAGAAATTTATTAGGTTAGTGCATTATAGCTTAATCCGTTTATGAGTTTCAGGTAAATTTGTAAGGCGATAACAATTAGATATGAATATGAAGTATACTATGAAAATATCTCGTATCACATGTTTGCATTTGATTTCTGCGTACATATAAAGATAATGTTGATGACGGAGACCTTAATTGTGATTGGCATGCTAACAGGGTCGACAAAAGACTGCCTTGGTCGTTTGCGTGTCATTAATTACCTTTCAGCAACAGGATGAAGAACAGCTACACATAAGCAGTTATTTTAATGATGAAGTACTGGTGTTGTGTGTATAAATTGACAGCACAAACGATATGTTGACGATACGTATACAGGAAAAAAATCAAATGACTGATTTGAAAAATCAATTGGCATAATCTTTTCTAATACAGTAATTAAATACTAAACAAGTGATACTATTTTAAAAAACATTGTTAACATACACACTACCACAGAGCTCAAACAATAATTAAAGGTAAACTTTACCGGTTTTTTTTTTCCATTTTTTTTAAATTTTTGTTATTCTTTTTATTTATTACTTGAAAATTATAATCCAATAATTAATTGAACAATAAAATGCCTTCATTGCATCAATATATCATATTGTACAACAGACTGATGGAAAAGAGTTAAAATAAAATAGTAAATAATCACTTCAAAATTGTTGATTTGACACCTTGACATGGGGTATATTTCTGCTTAATACAAGTAGTAAGTAGTATATAAGACAATATGCTTACATTTAGCCCTGATAGAAAGAAAATAAACGATTTCTCTAAACGACATTACTTAATACATAAGCATAAATTAACTGGCTTTTCCCTATCATTTTACACTAGACCACACAACAAAAATCGCGGGTACGTAACTGAATTGAATTAGTAAGTCTATATAAAGCAGAAATTTAGTTTTCTTTTTGTCGTCTGATGATGTCACGCATTAAATTGGGTGAACAATTTTCTCTGCTTGAAAAAGCTTTCTGTCTAAACCGGTCATTACTTTTCTCACTTGATTTCTGACTATCGGACTTTTACAGTGATTTGCTGGACGGGTGTCAGAGTGGGAAAGAAATCGCTCATCCTTCGGAAGAACCTACTTTTGTCAGACGTTTTCATTACACATCCATATACACTACAAACTATACTGTAGTTTTAATTTCATACTTGCAGTAAATGTCAAACAAAAATTGCAATCATGATATTAACATCAAAAATATTTCTTTAGTTGATGACTTGATTACAGCTCTCAAAAAAGCATGTTGTTTTAAATGTTTGCCAATGATTAATTTTTAATGTTATAATACAAACTGTGGTTTAGTTAGCTTTGCATGAACTACAGATAGGAAAAGAGAAACTCGTACAATCATGTTATGTCTGATCTCTTACCATAGGGACCAATGTCTTTATCTGAAGCTTCAACTTGACCAACAAAAGCACCGTCACTTGCAGTATGTTGCACCAGAAATAGATATTCATTGTGGGAAAATTTTGGTGAGTTATCGTTGTCATCATGTATAGTTATATTCAGGAATGCATTGTCCGTAAATTCATTATCAGTAATGTACACATCACATTGAAGCTGTGCAGATGTACCAACTATGTCAAGATCATAATCAGCTGAATACGACAAAAGGCCTGTTGTTGAATCTATATCTAACTTGCCAGTGTCAGATCCACAATTCAAAGAAAACTGCACAGCATCTCCATCATCGTCAGCATACTGGTAATAGGGGTTCTGCAGTACAAATCCGGCCTGTAATGAAAACGCCGTCATTGTTGTATGTCTGTTAATTTATATTTGAATTAATTCGGTTTCTTAAAGCCTATGGTCTTTTAAAGCGTAGTTAATAACGGTTATTGAACAACCGCGTGACGCGCTAACTAAATTCGCTATCGTAAATATTCCTTTGATATCTTTTTAGCATATTTTGAAAATATTGTTCAGCATATTACAAAAATATTTCTCAACTATGTAGGCATTTCATTCCAACATTTGAAAATTTGTTATATTTAGTACTTATACAGAGTAAAATAAAAATTTGTTTCATAACAGCATGAAAATATCATGATAACTGACTGGGAATAATGCACGTATTTAGTAATCCAAAAAATGGATTGATAAGAATGATAATCCAGCTGCACATTAGGTCAAATTTAACGGAATGACTATTTCTAAAAGTATCATGATTCATGATGTACTACATGTAAATAAAAAAAGAATAAGATGGTATGCTTTAGGACAAGAGCTACTAAATAAAATGTCATTAAAAGATAATATGCTGCTGGAGGTAAGATGTAATTGGAATGTTTAAATGTATAACATTAATGTGACAATTATGCCATTCATCATATCAAAGTGTTCCATATCTTTAACTTCAAATTACGTAAACGTTTTAGAAATCTAGAATAATTAATTACTTACTGTGTTTTCATATGAATCAATCGCGTAATATTTCTTTGAGAAATGTAGTGGTTCGTTCACATTAACAATGTTGATAGTTAGGTTTTCAATGCTTTCTGTTAGCGAATCCTTGACACTAATCATCAACAAAAAGCTTTTGGGTGATATCGTTTCATAATCAATATCAGCTACAGTTGACACCCATCTACCTATGAAACAGTTTTTGTAAAAGAAATTATAAATTACTATAACGAAAGGTGGATTTATCTAGAAAACATGGATCTTTTCATTAAGCTGAATTAACGAGCAATAATGCCGCTGTTACATGTATGAGGCAGTATCGGGAATAAGAACATAAGTCAAGAACACAATCATTATGCCAGAATTGGTCTGAATTGAAGTTTTTGATACGATGTATCGGCACTTCGTCGTCCTAGGAGAAAATGACATGATCTGACGTTCAACAGATATTCATTTAATTTTTTTGTATTTTTTTAGTTTTCATGTTAAGACATGTAAAATTACAAACTACAGTATTAGACACAAATTATAAAAATAAGTAAGTAACACTTGTAAGATTGATCAAGTCATAATGATATAATAAGATATATTACAATTAATTCGGTTACATAAATGCTGCTTCTAACAATTGCCACTTCTGATCTATTTTAACTTTTTGTGTAGGGGTTCAGATAAAGTAAATTTCTATACTTATCCAATATTTTAAATATTCTATCCAACCATATTTTGTTGGCAATATATTCTTACATCTACATTTGTATATGTAGTAATTAAATACAATTAAATAGTATTTACTGTTAAAAACTTCCTCAGACACACCAAAATGACTAATGGACAAGAAAATGTCATAATTTCTAATTCATTCTATCATGGATAGCCAGGAATTTTGTACAACATTACATTCCCAAAAAATGAGATTTAAATTTTTTTTTTAACTGATTTCTGTACAAAATACACATACTTCAGTTTCTTTTAAAAGAAAATGAATTACATGGTAGAATCCTATGAACAATTTTAAAATGGAAATTTTGTAAGAAGGAATTTCTGCTTTTAATAAATGCCATTAAGTAAATAGTATTGTAATATTCAATCTGCATATTCATATCTATTTCCCATTTTATTATCTTCTAAAAATAATTTATAACACAAATTGCAGGAATTTGGTAATTTCAACTTTAACTACCAATTCATTTTCAATATTGTCCAATTTAGAAGTAGCTGCTATCAAACTTTTCAATCTATTTACCCTAAAATGTAACTAAATTAATATTGATATTATACTTTTTTTAATTTTTCATATGAAAATGATGTATTATGATCGGACACCAGATCGTTAATAAAGAATACAATTGACTTATAATGGTTTTCTTTTATAAATTTTGACTTGGATGGAGAGTTGTCTCATTGGCACTCATACAACATCTTCTTATATCTATATACAATGTTCGATATATTTTAATTTCAAAATCATCTATTTTGATGTTTGGACTTCAGATATTTTAAATATCAAAAACAAAACATTATTTTTATCTGAATGACAACGTGAAGCTTCCTATCAAGAGTTGTTTGGCTCTTGTTGAACATTGTCTTTCCTTGTGATTTATGTATATATATAAAGGGGTTAGATCTTTCTGTAGTGTAAGATTATTTTCTTTTAACTTTATGCCTTTACAAATCTTTGTGTAATGAGGTCTTCTTTAACTATCAACGGTACACATTATACTGCAAAGGATGCGTATTTCGACAAATTATGACGATCGAAATTATCACGGCATAAATATTTAGAAATCAATAATTGAAAGTATAACTGATTATGACTGTCGGAGCAGTATCTGTTGCTCTTTCCAGACCACAAGAGGTCAGACATGATTCTTGGCGTCGCTATCTTATCATAATCTTTAGTTTCTTTTTTTTTTTTTGTGGGCCGTCGTTTGTTTTCTGGTATTTTTATTTAACCAAAGGTTTCTCATTCTTAGACTTTTCGTTTTTAATTGTCCCCTTGGTTTCGTCATTGTTGTTTTATTTAGACAGAATAATAGCCTACTTACTTGTATCATTCACATGAAAATATATGTCACCGTCTTGTGGAATATACGACACAGATAATATATGAATATCAGAACTATCCATGTCTTGTATCATAGGCTGAAATATTGTGGTCCCCACACTAATGCCTTCCAGAACATTTATTGTTGTTGGTAAGTTAACTAAAGTAGGTATGGAATTAACATCTGAAAATATATGAAAATAAACCGATGAAAGTAAACAAAAATAATATCGTTACTCGCTATTTGCTTAAAACTGAATCTCAAGGAAGATTATTTCAGATTACAGTTAAAAACAATCTGACTTTTTACAATTCATTTTGAGTGAACGGCAATGATGAACGTTCCAAAATTAAACTTTCCCTATAACATCGTCCATCCATTATCTGTTTTATTTATTTGGGTTTCACAAAACACACACATTGCTCAGATTGTGCCATATTTTCTTTAAAAATTGTTAAAGCATAAATCAGGACGTTGGTTTAATCTTTTGAATTTTGTCCTGTATTTGTGGGGTCTGTTATGGCTTACTATACAGTATTGATTTTGTTCAATTTTGAATACCGCATGATGACGTGTTTTTGTTTATATCAACTTCAAGATGTCTCTCATCCTTAAGGAATCTTTATGACATATCAGTTCATGACTGTATGGCTTAAAGTGTCAATGAGAGTAAAAAAGCATAAACAATTAAAAGCCAATAACAAATTAAATTATTAGAAAACAAACCTGTTACTCTTACTGATAGTGTTTTAGGTCCCACCACATTCATGCCGTCTGTTATATTGATTTGTAATTCATATCCTGGTACAGTTTCAGTTTGTATTGGACGAGATAACCATACAGCACCAGCTGTGAAACAAGTAAATGTTTTACAGTAGGTATATAAAGGCAACAGTAGTATACCGCTATTCAATAGTCATAAATCGATTAAGCGAAAACAAATCCGGGTACAAACTAAACCGAGGGAAACACACCAATGCCTATCATTGTCTATACTATATAGGAATTATATAATATTATAAATATACACCAACGCCTATCATTGCCTGTACTATATAGGAATCATATAATATTATTAATATATAGCTATATCTCTGTATTATGTATAATAAAACTTTGGCTGATCTCGTTTAGGGTTAAATGAATAGTAATATGCTAATAAATATTTGCTGTCCATATACTAGTATTCGTCATTGTCATTTAGGTCTACTCGACTCTTAATGCAGCCTATTGATATTTCACTATTCATTTAGCATGTTTTACTGTTATCATTTAGATTACGCTCTGGCTTACACAATTTTAATCCTGGTATCTATCATGAGTCTATTTATATGTATATAACAGTTTAATTTATTTTCGATCAAAACGTACCACAAACAAATGCATAACACCACAAAAATAATAAGTGTGGGACCCGCATTGAATAAACGTATTGAACTTTAATATTTTAACATTCTACTATAATAATATTTCATTTTTTCAAGAATTTGTCTTGTAATATAATAATTTCCACTGATGGTTATAATAAACTCACTCAATTGGTTGATTTGAAACGGTTCATTTGCATTTGTAGACGACAAACTGAAAAGTAAGTGGTCGTTCTCTGGATCAGTACCAAGTACAGTATATATAACCTGTCCAACTGTAGCCTGTGATGAAATGTTTGTGTTAGCTGCAATAATAAGGAACCAAAATGTTAATTAAGAATTAAAACATTTATCTGTTCTTTGTTGATATCTATTGTTTTATTGAATATCTATTTTATTTTGATATACAAGAAATAGATCACTGAATTCCTTGTCAGTGTTAATGTTATGGTTTCATTGTGTCTTAATTTGTCTCACACTTAAGTTGATACTATTCTGCAAATATTAAGACAATAACAATAACTACTTAATATTAATAAAATGATATGTTCGGTATATGTCGATGAGACAGCAACCTAACGAAACAAACAACCAAACGATATATAGACATTACACCACATCGTCTTATTCTTATGTTTCAATATATACAATATATGTAAATTGTCGACGAATATAAAACTTATTTGTACGAGCTTTACAAATTGAAGAAAGGTGAGGTTCGCCGCGCTTTATTCCGTTTCATAGCAAGTACAAATGAATTTAATATATTTTTATTTATAGTGTGTATATCCTGCAGTTTAACATTGCCAATTAAATGTTCAATGTTTAATCTTCCAAGTCGTACAGTAAAGACATTGACATTGCTTGGTCGCCGATTTTTAAGAGTACCCCTCAATATTAACGATGACGTAAACATTCATTTGAATATTACCGATCGCCCGAAACAGAATCAGGATACCAAGAGATTATATACGTAAACAATACGCATATCTGCTTGGTTTACCGTTCACATGGTTTTGTATTTGTATAAAAGAAAATTGATTGCAGGTTAAATATATATATTTCTGCATTTTGTCAATCGTGAGATTCGATACTGCCTCATAATTCATTAAGAAAAGCTTTATTATGATCATGAGTAACTTATACACGGGATCGTTTTTCTGTCTGTATCTGTTTTATTTACACAAATGGCTGTTCGCTTACTTTGCGAAATAATAAGGATTTTCTATCCCAGGAATATATTACCTTAGCTGTATTTGGTAAAACCTTTCGGAATTTTGAGTTCTGAATGTTTTTTTTAACTTTGTACTTTATTTGGCCTACTTAACTTTTTTGATTGAGCCTTTTGAAGAAGAAACGCGCGTCTGTAGAACAAAAGTTTAATCCTAGTATCTATGATAATGTTATTTACGGAGTAGTATTTTTATTTGTTGAATACATTTTTTAAAATTTAATATGATTTTTCAGTGAACTGACATACATAATACTTTCTCATGGTAATATTACTTGCCTTGAAGATTGGTGAGAGACGGAGGCATATTACGGATAAGGTAGATAAAGAAAATCGAAGAATCGTTCCTTCGCTGGTCAGCGCAAAAGATATCTAATTTGTATTGTCTTTGAATGTCGTAATTAAGTGCTTGGTTTGGTCTAATGTATATGTTGGTCTCTACAAAAAAACAAATCGATATATCATCAGCATTCAACTATATTATAGTGTAAAACATTGGATTTAAGAAATGGTATCCTTCAAAACGCTAAATTCAGTTACTTAATAGTATAAACATTTGGTCATAGTGGAGAGTTGTCTCATCGGCAGTTTTGCCATATCTTCCTATTTTTATACATAAAAATTCTAGCAAAAAACAACACAGTTAGACTGGTACATGTTAAAACAAATGGTTTCAATCCTTATTTCTGGGAATAAGTATTTACATTCCCACACTCTCTTTAATTTGAAATTATGCTATTTTAGAAGCAATTAAGTCTGGTTCATATCTACATCTAATTTAGATAAAATGTAATCACGATGATTTAAGTTTCTCTAGCAATTGCCGTCATGATCTCACATAACAGTTAATACGATATGACAGATCTAAAGCATGATCGTACGATTTAAATTGTACAAAAAATAATAAATGAACTTCCAATTGTGATGTTTACTGTTTTTAACAACTCTAACAGAAACGCAAATTTCACAATTGGCATTAAGAAAAGGGCAATCGTTGCAGTGTAAGAGTTTTAATTTACCAGAAGTATTTTTTTTTAATTCTTTATATGTAATCCTATATCTCCAGTATGGGTAATGGTATCAGAAGTTTATATAAATTTGGTACCATGACAATAACCACTAGTTGGAATTAAGGCAGCCGTAGTTTACCTTTGCTTAAATCTTGTTAATCGATTAGGGAGAGACAAATCATTGTTACCAGCAAAGGGTTAGGGAATTGCATGAAGTCCAGCAAGTCCGAGTGTGGCGACAGGGCAAGCAAGCGTCTTCTGCTATGCATGCATAATCCGTCATACGAAATCACACTCAGTCAAAAAGTCACAATCGGGAATAGGACAAACAAACTGTAAATTTACAGACGATTTTTTGGTCATCTAAAGATCTAAGATCATAAATACATGTCGCTAGTGAGTTGAAACACTGACATTTCATATCGGTAAACCTATTCTTGATGGTGACTGCAATTATTATGTTTATTAGTTTTCAGTCTTTCTATCTCATAACTCTGCTGAATCAGTTTTTTGTGCAAGGAGTACACTCATGTAAATGAAGTCTGTATAGCATGAAAATGCACGAGCGTAACGTATTAAGTAAGATATATAAACGCCATACGGTGGAGCACATGATATTTTAAGGCTAAGAAATGGAATGTTGACAATTGGAAAGTTGAAACTTCGCGTTTTTTATAGATTCATGTTTGAAGTCATACAGCTGTGTCAATATTGAGGACTTTTTGCTTTAGTTTGTATCGTTAATCCTGTCACGTAGTGTTGTCCTTTTAGCTGAATCTTTTTAGCATTGCTTTATAAGCGGGAGGTTTCGCTAGCCATAAAACCAGGTTCAACCCACCATTTTTTATCAAAATTTCCTGTAAAAGTTAGGAATATGGCAGTTGTCAAATAGTCCGTTTCTATGTATTTTGGCTTTTTTTTTTGTTACAGAAAAAAAAAAAAAAAAAAAAAAAAAAAAACAGTTCCGTGTTTCTGTTGTCCCGTTGTTTTCCTCTTATAGTTTATGTGTTTCCCTCGGTTTTAGTTTGTAACCCGGACTTGTTTTCTCTTTAACTATTTATGACTTTTGAACAGCGGAATGCTACTGTTGCCTTTATAACTTTAGTACCACCATCATAACAATAACATAAAGTTTGACATTGTAATCAGGCAAAGCAGGATGGGCGTATTAAAGTCGTATTCAATACGGCTATCATGTTAATCACTCCTATATCCCTAGGATGCTGTCGACTTCTAATGAAAAATGTGCACTGTGGAAAGGTGTACAGTGTATGTTGTATGGTGTTGTGATGTGTGATGTGATGGTGTATGCCGTATGGTGTAAATGTGTATGGTGCGTTGTGCATTGGGAATTATGTATACTGCATGATGACTGTTGTATTCTTTTAAATTTTAATTCGTTGCATAAAAGATGTATTGAAATTTGAAATTTCCTCAAACGAGTTACATTATTGGTGAATGATAAGCGAAAAATATAGGATTCACTTGGGAAAGAGAAAAAGCAAATAGTGTATTTTTTCTGGTGTATGGGGAATGGCGTAATTGTGTATCGAGGTGTAATGGTTTACGGTATAGATTGGATGTTTAAACCATTCCAGGACTATATATTGCTGTATTTTGTACCTGGTCATAAGATTTTCTACTGGTAAATTTTTATTAAACTATTTCTTATACATTAATGTCACATTAATGAATCAGATAGTGTTCATTAAAGACAAAAAAAAAAGATGGGAATAATTAAACATGTTTGTGGGAGCCCAACCTTTTTCAATGAAAGTTTTCTGCAATGTACTCGTCTTCAAAGCAAAGCGTTGACATGACAAATTAAAGCTAGAAATGTTTTTTTTTATTATTCTTTTTTATTTTTTTAGATTACTGAAACCTACCAAATGGTTCTATTCCAGGTTGAAGATAAAACATTACTGAAGATGAGGTGTCATTACATGTCACTGTATCGTTTGATGGGTCGGTAACAGATATGGTATACAGTAAAGACTCTGTGCTGATGGTTTCTGGTATTTCGCAACTCATCGGTAAATTAGTAATGCTTGGTGCCTATTTCAATCAGTAAAAAATGCAGGTTTAACCATGTCTAAATATAAGAAAGTTAATTGAATGCAATAAAAGTGTATATCTCTTCATTGTTAAGGGAAGAAAATATTAGGAATCAACAAATATTTTAACAACTGTGACGAACAATATACACAAATAACATTAAAACGATAAAAGCTAAAACAAACACTTCGAACGGAAAAATTCCAACAATTTAAACAAATTTTAAAGCTTTCTGTTCAATGATAAATTTCTTTCGAGTATTAAAAACATAATCAATAACCATTGACTAATTTTCAAAACAGGATTTCTCACAAAAATTATATACATTTTAATATATAACTCTAGTTGTTGTTTCCTCGACCAATAAAATCTGGCCACGTAGAAATAGCCAATAGTGCTAAAATGAAGTTGAAAACCAAAAGCAAAAATCAAATCAAATGTTCAGCCTACCGTAGTGAAAGAATAAAACTACAGAAAAACTTATCTGCAGTTGTTGAGATAGTTTCTACACTTTGATAGCAATGTGAAAAAAAACAGCATTCAGAAATTTTATTCAAAAATATAAAAGTGAAAATTAACTTTTAAAAGAGCAGCATCATGTGTATGTATCCTGTGTTAAATCTACTACAGCACTGTTTATTATTTCTGTAGAGTTAACGAATAATGAAAGCCTTAACTTACACCGCCAAATAAATCAAACCAATTAGATGCTGTCTAAAAAAAATTACATTTACCTTCAGAAGCACTGTTTTTTGATCGATTTCCTTTTGCTCAGTGAATACTTTTCAATATTTTTTAATCAGTGCCTCTCTCATTTACTATTTTGTACTTTTGTCGTCCACTTCAAAATTTAAACATGTTCGTTTATACAGGATGTAACCATGGTATCTTTAACAAATCAATTTCAAATGTCATTAGGGAAAGTTGAACTATATTGAACTAAATCAACGCTAGAAAGCCGTGATTGCGATTTTGTATTTTTGAGATTTAGTTTAATATAGTTCAACTTTCCCATATGACATTTTAACAAATTTGCAAACGGGTTACCAGACTACGTGACATCCATAAAATGAAACCTTGGTAAATGGAGTTTTCTCGTTAAAATACATTTTTGGTTGTAGTTTGATTCTTATTCTGTATTTCGTATCATATTGTGGATTAATTATATCAACTGTCAAAACAATTATATATAAACAGTTCTAATTTTATCTTACCATATTTGGATTTATTATGTCAACTGTCAAAACATCTGTAACATTTCTACGATGATCGCCGCATTCTATAATTAATGCATAGCTTGACGTAATATCAAAGTTCAGTATTATGCCTGCTTTGAGGAAGACTGCATAATAATCTAAAATACATAATAATTAGGAAATAAATGTACCATATTGAAAGCGTCGAAACTTCAATTTGACGGTAGCCGATTCAACCGATAAGATATCATGAATGCCGAATCCTAGTTGACGTTGTTAATGAAACCGAGGCAAAGATACTAAAGGGACATTAAAACTCATAAGTGGAAAAAGAACTGACAATCTCATGGCTATGAAAGAGAATGACCAATAGACAAACAACAGTACAGTCCTTTTAAAAATTCCAGGAAAAGTCGACATCAATTTTGCAATGTTATAACTAATAACCACGGCCGCCAACGATGACAATGACATCCGTTAAGTATCATATTTAATTATAGTTAAACAAACTATATATCAACAATGCATAATACATAAAAAGTAAAATAACAAAAATACCGAAGTCCGAGGAAAATTCAAAACGGAAAGTCCCTTATCAAATGGCAAAATCAAAAGCTCAAACACAGCAGAATGGATAACAACTGTCATATTCCTGATGCATAAGGAATAATGCAAAACAAACATGTAAAAAGAGATATTATCTTGTTTAAGTGTCAGCAGGACAACGTTTTTCGCTATTTATGCATTTTCAATTCATCCGTTGTAATGTATTATATACAATAACTCTATAGCCACAAAATTTTTAATGACAGAAAGGGTGAAAATGTAGGTGAAATGAAACATATACAAACCTAACGTTGGAGGTAGTTTTTCCAGTGAAAATGTGTCAATATGCACGGTAAGTACACATGTTATGGTGTCGTTAACATTTACATCTGTTGTGTTCAATAAGTGAAGAAATGTTTTAGTTATGACCTCTTCTGATATATTTGTGTTCGTTGGTAAACTGTTGATAACTGGGGGCTACAAAGAAAAAAAGTTCTTGAGAATTTATAAACTGATGAGTCAAAATGCATTAACATTTCATTTCTCTTTTATCCTTCCTTTCTTCTCTTGACGATTTTAAAGCTATTCGGAGTCACAATTTCTTTATCGAATGTATCGTTTGTTTTTGCTTAATTTTCACATTTTATATCAAATCAGTCATTTCCAAATTATACAATAGCCATTCCTTTTTGAAAAATATTAATCGCCGCTCATAATAATTCGAAACAAAATGAATAAAGATCACATAGCTTCCTTGTCCTGTTTAAGCAGAAAACAAATAAAAAGAAAATATAAAATCAATTCAGTGTTTTGAATCCTTCGTATATTTCAATTCCTTCAAGCTAAGCGCGTCCGAAAAAATAAACGTTGATTGCTAATACTTGAAGTAGCAATCCATGATGACGAAGAAAACAGTTTCATTTTAACAGATCGTTCAAATTATGAATAAACATAAACGGACCAATTTTTCGCATCAAATGCGCATTTGAGTATATATATTGCTTTCGTGATAAATAGATTTTCATTGGTGTAATAAGCTAAAAATAATAAAAACGAGTCTATAAATGGAATTCATTTAAAAAAGAACAGTCATACTTATGATATTTTGTTTATAAAACATATGATAAATCATCTTCTTATTATGATCAAAATGTTCTGTATTTATTCTAACTATTAGATTTGTTCTAACTACAGGAGTCAAAGCGAGATACGCGTGTCATATTTTGATGTCTGAGAAGCCTTAAATGTAATAAAACATTTCTCCAGCCATGAGTTATAAACTACATCTTCCATAGGAAAACACACGAAAATATATCATGTTGAAGTAACTGAAGAAGCCAAAAGTCACAAGTTCATATTCGACAGTACGTTACAGTTTTACATTAAAATAAGCTAAGCTTTTCGTGAAAGTCATTTAATATACATCATGATCAAGTTGTACACTAATAAAATGTCTATACCGTATTCCGTATGAGGTTAATCGTAAAAACTCCAGTATCATTTCTTCTCAGATCACTGCATTGTACTGTCAATGTATAGGACGATGTGGTATCATAATCTAGAGTTGTACCCCCTTTCAGGTATATTCCATATTCTATCAAACAAACAAAAAATACACAATCGTTTATTACTGTTTATCGGTCTTTTTTTCTTTTTCACCCATGGCGTTGTCTGTTTATTTTCGACATACGAGTTTGAATGTCCCTCTGGTATCTTTCACCTATCTTATATTAAAAAGGAGCTCACAATTTTGATAAAAAAGTAAAATTACAAAAATACCGAACTCCAACATGTCCAAGGAAAATTCAAATCGGAAAGTCCCTTATCAAATGACAAAATTAAAAGCTCAAACACATCAAACTATAAACTATTTCTCCTTTGTATTTCTAGTTCAAAAGGTTTCATTATACATAATATATAACCGAGTTTGCTAGTAGTATATCGGAAGACCACAAAAAATTGGTACAAGTAATCGATAATTTACTTAACTAATATGTTGTATGGTTAAATCAAAAGTGTTGTTATTGAAACAGTGTTGCACTGTTCAATACTTTCAAAAAAAACACATAACTAGATCTGATAGCATTCTATTGATGCATGGTAAATCAAGTAAAATTGAGAATGAAAATGACCCAAGAACAGTACTTGTTTGAAAACGCTTAAACAACTATTTATCACTAACACTGCAGTTTAACAGAAAAGCATACCGTTATAGTTCTGTGGAATAACTTGTATATCAAATAATGAACTGTTCGGATTTAGTACACATGTTATATTGTCTCCCTCAACATCTGTCACATTCAAGGTGTGTAACAGGATATTGTTGTTCACGTCCTCTAGAAAACTCACAGAATCTGGCAGATTATGTATTACTGGTGCCTAGAAAACAAACGTTATATTAAAGCATCTGAATGAAACATATCGTATTTTCAATTATCATGATTATCGGGTGGACATGTTATTCATTCCTACGAGGACACATCTTACCCGTCTTTTTTTTCCAACTTGTATACTTAGTCTTTTTAATATATAAAAATTTGATTAACTTAAAATTTTGAAGAATAAATAATATCTTCTCACTAAATACGTTCGTGACATCGCCTCATCGCCTCTATAAAACAGTCGATTGAACTTATAATAAGAAATTCATGAAAAATAGATAGATCTCCTTCACTTTCACATGAAACTCAAGCGTTTGTATTTTTAAGTTGAAATTATCTCTTTGAAATGTCTGTGTCAAAAATTACCACGGATATTTTCAATTTGTGGTAACCACAATTTTGTCATCATTTCTGCTTTCGTGACTTGTTATAGAATATGGCATATGATTTTGTGAGAGGAAAATTTCAATGATTAAGAAGGACTTCGCTACAATCCCGTCCTCTTTTTCTCGATTGGGACATCACCAAATGAGACTTATAACTGAATATGTACGTACTATGAACAATATCACGAGTACCCCGTGTACAGCAGGATCGGCCAACATTTCCGTAGTACCTGAGATCAAGTCAGATTTTGTTGGTATTCATGTTGCTTAGTCCTTAGTTTTCTAGCTGTGTATTCAAGAATCACTTCTTCTTTTTGACGTATGTTAGTTTTGTCATGATGTTGTCGTTTTCTTTTGGATTTTTTGTTTATCTTTTAGGTAGACACTGAATTTGGCTGGAGAAACCCTTCAACGCACGCAGATTCAAAATTTTGTACGCCAGACGCGGATTTCTTTTACATAAGACTCATCAGTGAGGCTCGGAACAAAAATAGTTAGAACTCAAAATCAAGTAGGAATTTGAAGAGTATTGAAAACCAAATATTTCAAAACTTTATACCAAGTCTGGCTAGGTCTATTTATGCTTGCGGTAGAAAAACATTGACATTTCTAATTGAAAAGTTTACGAAACATACAATTATGCAGAACAAAGGTTGTAACGTTCGTTTATTTTATTCTGTCAATGCGAACACTATAAACCATATCAATAGATAAATTACCTCATTTGGATTGATTATGTAAACAGTCAGTATATCAGATACATTCCTACGATGATCACCGCATTCTACAACTACTAAGTAGCTTTGTGTTATAGCATAATTAAGTATTATTCCTTCTCGAAGATATATTGCGTAGTCAACTAAAATAAAAAAAAAAGATAAATTCACAAGTTGTATTCTTTTACATGAAATGATGCGTGTTTTGTGCTTAAATTTTTATTTTCTACAATACCCGTGTTATGAATGTAAGTGTTTTCAAATATGGATTTTCATGTACGTTATTTATAAACGTTTTGTTTTTATCTAATCTAGATTAAGGATGTTCGCTCCTCTTTTCTTTTTTTTTGAATTTTTGCCAGATATTTAGAATCCTCTGCTTTTATCCATGTACTGCCATGACAAATTTTGCACGCTATCCCCTACTTTTCTTTTCATAATTTTATTACTTACAGTTTTAAAAGCCATATTTGAAAATATTATAAAATCCTTGTTTTTTTTCATTGTTTTCCAGAGAAAAAAAAATGTGCCAATCTTATATTTATGAAAAATCTGGAGAGAATCATTTCTCGCCAAATTTCCAATGGCTTATATATCTAAAACAAGCACACGGACCCTTTATTTTTTTCTGCTTTTTTAAATCCTTTATTTATATATATAAATTTATAAAAGTCTTTTTAAAAGCTTTTTTTAAAACAGAGTAGCGAACACCCTTAAGAGAGGCCTTAGATATCCTTAAACAAAAACGTAACTACGTTGACCAATACCACATGTTGAAAAGGGAGGCGGAAGATACAAAGGAATATCTAAATTTCATAAGTCGAAGAGAAACTGACAACTCCCAAGTTAGTGTGCTTGAACCAAGCCAGGACACTCATCGACGGTTGTCCTTTTTATATCTTACATCTTTTCATCATTTAGGAACTTTTATTATAATAATATATTTGAAATAGCTACTGTTAAATATTTGAAAATCAAAATGAAGTTAGACAATTTTTAATGTTAAATACTAGTTTACAGTACAACATAGAGGCAACAACAAATGACAAAAGGTTTAATTAAACAGGGTTATTCGGGTTAGCGGGCAAAAACAAAATAAGGGAACATCTTTATATTACAAAAATGCGAATCGAGACACAAAAATTCGAACCCAAAATGGAGAGAGACCAGGTGATACAACATGTCAGGGTATCATTCTATGTATCCCTGCATCTATCATCATGACAAAATTAAGGAAAACAATACAATTGTTAAATTGACCAGATATCAGACGAGCGTTTTGGTAACTAAAGACCTAAGACCACGAAAAAAAATCTCTCATTGATGAGGCACAAAACACATCGTATCGGTCGATATTTTTTTTTATACACAGTTTTGATTAAGATGAAAAAACCGACATGGTGAGAAAATACATATAATAACACCATTACAAACGCAATCCCATTTTGATATTCTTGTACGCTTCTATAAATAAAACAAATCTATTTTATTTTTAGAAATTCACCTGTGATAATATTAACGTCACAAAAAAAATACGTCACTTTTTGTAACGTTGATCCAATCATGTGACGCGCAGTTTATATTTCGTTTATTGTGTCCTGGTTTGCTGTCGTAAAGTCAATGGTGGTGTCCGTTGTTATTATATCATTTGCTAATGTATTTCTCTGTGTTGACTGTTCTTGCTTTTGCTTATACTGTATTCCTGTCAGGTAGTGTTGTCATTTTAGCGGTATTTTTAATACTGCCATATAAGCGTTAGGTTTTGGCAATTTTTTTCTTACCCGCATTTTTGTTTTGCCTAATCGAATTTTGACTATTGAACTTCATATGTACTTATCAAATGCTGTAATTTTTGTTGAAATTTTCTGATTTATACAAACCAGTGAGATGACTAGTACTATATAAGCATCGTTGTAAATTAATAGAAATGAAAATATACAGAAACAGAAATTTCTACAAATGAATAAAGATTTGTTTTGGTCATTTTTTAACTAAAATTTATTCTGTGGTACATTTGACACTCCTACATAATACACAATTTTTGCTTGGACGATGGTGTGGGTTCTATTATATTATAATGATACTTGCTTCCTTGACATCATTGATATGTTCCTTTTTTCAAAATTTACTGTTCATGATGAAATATTGAATTTCTCGAAATACTAAGGTATCTATCATCAGACGTTGATTTCCTTAGTCGTATTTGACATTACTTTTCAGAATTTTCAGTTTTTAATGCTCTTCATCCTCGTATTTGATTTGGCCCTCCAAACTGTTTTGATTCGAGCGACACTGAGTCTTATGTAGATGAAAAATGCGTCTGGTGTATCAAATTACAAGCCTGATATCATTATTTTGATAGAGGGTTGCTGTTCATAAGGAAGCTATCAAACCAAGATTTCCAAGCAGAGAAGTCGAAATTCCTTCGGAAATATTACGAAAGCCTTTACGAGTTGACCATTATGAAATGTCTGTTTCACAGATGAGGACGGATATGTTCCAAATGACATTTTTTTTTCATTTTTTACCATGGCGTGAACAGTTTGTTTTCGAGTTTGAATGTACCTTTGGTATCTTTCGTCTTTCTTGTTACGGTTATGCTTCTGAAGGCGACTACTTTAAAATGGTAATACAGTCACAACTACCAGTCTCACCGAGTCAAAACACATATACTGTTGAACCTTTTAGAGATTATTAGATTCTAACTTGTTTCACCCCTATTATGTGTTTTGAATTTGTACCTTTACTGGAATGATCTAAATGATGAGTTAATATTCAAAATATTCATTTAGACATGAGATCTTGCAAAATAATTTGTAAAGATATAAATCAATAATATTTGAGGTAGAGATAGGCAGATTCAACAGAAGTAAATTGCAACACATAAATAGGTACCAACCTAAAGATGGTGAAATCGTTTCCAGTGTGAACTTGTCTGTGTGTGTATTTAGAACACATGTCACATTATCATTTTCATCTGTTACATTCAATGTGTGTAAGAGAGTTTTAGAAATAATATCTTCTGAAACGTTTGTACTGCTCGGTAAACTATTCAAAATTGGTGGCTAAAATAAAACAAAACATGTTGAGATTATCAGTTGGCAATTATCTATTTTTTCGCTATCTTGCATTCACAATGATAGTCAAAACATTATGTTATTAGTTTTGCTTACTTTATCATAAATTTACATAAGTCTCAAACTTTACTATTCACAAGTGATTTAGAAAAGAAACTAGCAAATATTTGAAGAGAGAGGGACGAAAGATACCAGAGGGACAGTCAAGATTATCATGTTCTGGAGACATGTTTGAGAAAACAACAATGTAATCATATCAAAAGCGTGTTTTAATTTCGATTTTATGTATATCTATATGTCACCTACTGTATTTCGTATTAGATTTACTGTAAAAATCTCTGTATCGTTTTGTCTAAAATCGTTGCATTCCACTGGCAATATGAAAGAAGGAGTTGTATCGTAATCTAGTATTGTCCCTCCTGTCAGGTAGATTCCGTAATCTATAAACAACAAAGTTTGTAAACTACTGGAAAATGTAGTATATTAATAGCAATGATATTTGGCAAAATTTTTCTATTGCATGCATTCAAACAGTGAATTCATTTTGTATATTTAACAGGGTTCTATACTTCGGTTCTGTCATGATTGATTGATATAAAAATAAGAAGATGTGGTACGATTGTCAATGAAGCAACTCTCCACTATACCATATACGGCCTAATTTATGGATAAAAACAATAAAAGAAAAACAAATATGATATAAAGCAACAAACGACAACCACTGAATTACAGGCTCCTGACAAGGAGAAGTCACATACATGATATGGTGGAATTAAATATGCTTGCTTGTGCCAAACCCTCTCCATAACCCGGGACAGATGTGTAACATAGAATGATGCATTCTACTAAATTTTCTAATTTTGAATTATGCACTTGTATTAATTTGCTGACCATGGTTTAAATATATCTACATGGTAACTAGCCTTTAATATTCAAATTTCTGGAATACTTGTCATCCAGGTACGATCGACACACAAGGTTTGAAGACAACACTATCAAAGGTTAAATCAACGTTGAAAATGAATGTTGTTTAACTGACTCTAAAAATGATTACGGTTTGTTTTAGTACTCCAATGTAATAATCGACAAAGAAAATGAACCGAAATTGTTCCCTAAATGTGTCTCCCTTGATTTCAGTTTCCCCAAGTGTAAATATATATTTAGCATGTCAGGAACTAAATAATAAAACATCGCTTTAACAAAACGCATAGCTATCTAACGTTTATACTTAATCTACAAATTCAATACTAAACATTTCTGTTCATCAGTTTATTAGTGTTTTGAAGTGCATACGATAGTATTGGAATATTTAATCATAAACCTAACCTGTATTGAAAGGTGGAATCAAGGACACTGCAAATAATGAACTATTTGTCGTCAGTAAACAGGTTATGTTGTCACCCTCGGTGTCTGTCACATTCAATGTATGTAATAAGGTATTGGTGTTCACATCCTCCGACAAACTGGTAGAATTTGGCAGATTGTGAATAACTGGTGCCTAAGATATAGATAAGACAAGTTGTGGTGACAGAACATTCATCACTCAAAGTCTCTTATCCATATCATTTGCTATAAGGCAATTGAAAGTTCATTGCAATAGTTCGGCAACGGCCGTCTTTATCTAAAAGTTAATGTTGCATCATGTGTAGAATTTAATGTAGATCCGGAATCTATGATATCGCGTAAGAAGCCAAAAGAAATAAGTCGAACAGAAACAGATTTGGTCTATGTTGCTCAGTATTCAAAAGTGGTGATCCAAATTCGAATTCCCTTCCTCAACTTTGCAGATCCTACCTTTTAAGTCTGATATTTACATTGTTTTTGTCCTGAATTTGCATAATATATGTACCATCTTAGTTAAGCAAGCAATTATGAATCTGTCCATTTTTTCGCTTTCGTGTTTTAAATTAGATTATGCAAAGAAATATGCTTAATCAACTGACAAACACTAATATTTGATAATATAAATAATACCTCATCTGATAATATTAACGCTATCGAAGTTCATAAGATGCACATTTAGACAAACTATATCTCATCGGTGATGCTCCAGACCAAAATAATTGAAAACCCAAAGCCTAATTCATTCTTCGAAGGGCTGATATATCCGGAAAGGAACAAACAGGCAACTGAAATCCAGGCAAGGTATAGCGGTATGCTTAAGAGAGAAACGTTCCTTAATCTTATATGATTTTTCTCAATTGTATAACAACAAATAGGAATAGATCAATATATATACTTCTATACCAGTACAGAGGTACTCAGCTACGAAGCTGGTGATACCCTCAGGATTATCAGTTCATCTGCAGAGGTACCAATAAACTTACACTTATAATATTACCGGTAACAATTTCAATGTAACAGATGCATTTCGACAATTATTTTCCTTGATACAATCGGACATAAACCTACCATGTTTTTTACTAAATAAACCGTAAAATTTGCAGTTCTGTTTCTTCTTGAATCACTACATTGTATGGTCAGCAAATATGAAGGGGTTATATCATAATTAAGAACTGTTCCACCTATTAGATAAATTCCAAATTCTGTAGGTATACAAAAAGAGAAGAAAATTTATGACAATACAATGTTTTGGCTAAATGCATTTGAAAATTAGAGAGTACAATAATTCTTTCAAATATCATCTTTCATATAAACTCATCATAGATACCAGGAGTGAAATTTTGTATTTGCGCCAGACGCGCGTTTCGTCTACAAAAGACTCATCAGTGACGCTCGAATAAAAAAAAAGTTAAAAAGGCCAAATAAAGTACGAAGTTGAACAGCATTGAGGACCACAAATTCCTAAAAGTTTTGCCAAATACAGCTAAGGTAATCTATTCCTGAGGTAGAAAAGCCTTTATTAGTTAGTATTTCAAAAATGTAATGTTTTGTAAACAGTTAATTTATAATTATGACCATATAAATGATAATTCATGTCAATATGTTTTCAAGACATCAAACTGTCAAATATCAAAATTGAGATTTTTTTATTGCGTTTAACATTTTTGCTTTAGCTGTTCAATCTTAATCCAAGTAATGTAAAGCTGCAAAGACTTCCCAAAAAAAGTTTTGTTTTAGAGATCTTGTCTTTACTATTTAGATATAAGCAAACAACATTCTTTTTAAAATACATAGGTTTACTGAAAAAAATATTCTTTCTTGAAATTTGGGCCTTTGTTTATAGTTAATATACAAGTGAGTTATAAATAGCTTAGCCGACCCCTTTTGATTAACTTGCACTTCATGATTTTTGGTGAGGTTTACCTAGGTTCATATTTTTTCTGTGTAGTTTTTAGTGTACAATTATGTGTCTATTGTCGTTTTTCATTGTGTCATGATGTTGTTTGTTCTTCGACAATAATTTTGTAGCAATATTGCTACCTTCATTCTATTCTATCAAGGATTATTGATAGTTTTTTTATGTACTTTCTACGAAATATCAACGATACCCGACACATTGCAGATACTTTATAATCCCTAAAAATCTAACCTATATTTGAAGATGGAATCAATGACACTTCAAATATTGAACTGTTTGGATTCAGGAAACAGGTTGTATTGTCGCCCTCGATATCCGTCACATTCAATGTATGTAACAACATGTTGGTGTTCACGTCCTCTAGCAATATGACAGAATCTGGCAAGCTATGAATGACTGGTGCCTAAATCAAATAAGCAATGGCACAGATAAAAACAGTAAGAAACTGCAAAATCGTTACTAAAACATTTGTTTCAATACAATTGTCTTTAGCAAAATAGTTGATTGTTTACGACTGAAAAACATAAATTATATTTGTATGTTTGAAAGTGACATATTTCTCCGCACAGTCTAAACGAACATTGAGTCTGGTGTTCTTACCTTTTATGTTGCAACAGAAACCTTTTTGCAACGTTTTACCGTTTGATAACACGAGGAAATTTTCCAGGGAAATCAAAACATAACTATAATTTTAGACAACACCATGCATTTAATAGGACCTCAAGTATCCATCAGTATTTTGTATTTTAATGATATTTTGACACATGTAAGACTATGAATAGCATTTTCAATTAATGATCATAACTGCAAGATTGAAACCATCCCTTCTCCGCTGAGCGAGCTCCATCATGAGTTTGCTTGCCTTTCAGTCCAGAGACTTATTATTAAATTACTAGGGCTTCAAATAATTTCTGGTTTCTTACAGTCCATTAGTCAAATAACAGGATATGTTTTATACAGATCTTAGGTGTTGGATTACGTTAATTGTCTATTTTTGGACATTTTAGGCAGAAGTGAACCTGAATCTCCACTTTCGCTTTGCAAAGTGTACATATACGCTGAGATGATTACTCTACGACTCACCTGATCTCACTCCGTGTTTTCTTTTCATTCGTGTTTATTTATACATAGATTACAGAAAAAATCAATTGAACATCATTGTATTGCCTTTATAATTAATAATTTTTAAGATGCTAGTTACATTAACATAGCTGTGCATGTTAATTGAAAATAGCACGCAATTGTAGTTGGTTGCCATATGGTCTTTGCTGTATGTGTATTTTTGTCACACTATATAGCATATTTTAATAAAAGTGATTTAAAACACACTTTTTCCTACCTCGTTTCGTACTAAATTTACTGTAAAATTTTCAGTGTTTTGACGTCTTAAATCACTGCATTGTACTGTAAGTGAATATGAAGGGATTGAATCATAATCAAGAATTGTTCCTCCCGTTAGATAAATCCCATATTCTAAAAATAAAGAAAGGAAATGTATTGCAATGACAGAATTAGTTTATAGACAATATATATGTAGGACTCTGAACAGCGATGGTACTCCGAACTGCGATGGTCACGCTGAAGTGCGAAGGTTGGACGCTGAAGTGCGTTTTTGATCACGCTGAAGTGCGATGGTCGCATTGTGACGCTATCTTGTTGATAGCTACGCCGAAGTGCGATGGTGGATACGCTGAAGTGCGATGGATAACATTAACTATATTTTGAATGGTTTTTTTTATGTTTTCATGTCAATAAAGAAGTAAATTTTTTTTGTTAAAAGCAGCTTTTCGTGTTTATTAAGTACATCATCGAGAACCGTTTGATTTAAAACAGTCATGATAAAAAGTCATTACTTTTCCAGTCATAATTGTAACGTTGAAGTTTACTTTGGACAAAAATAAGCCAACGTTCAACGTTTTTATTCTGTAGTAAGTCACCACTTCGGTGTTAACATGTATATCTATTGTAAATTTACTGTTTGCAAAAGTATGAATTATTGTAAATACTAAGGATTTTCTTATCCCAGGCATATAACCTAAGCCGTATTTGGCACAACTTTTTGGAACTTTTGGTTCTCAATGCTCTTCAACTTTGTACTTGTTTTGGCTTTCGAACTTTTTTGATCTGAGCGTCACTGATGGGTCTTATGTAGACGAAACGCGCGTCTGACGTATTAAATTATAAGCCTGGTACCTTTTGATAGCTATTATTTGTGTGTGTCTCTGTCCTGTATGTACTCCTACTTATTTGTATTGTAGTCCTGTCGTGTAATCTTGTCATTTTAATGTTATATTTAACATTGCCATAAAAGCGGGACGTTTGGCTAGCCACAAAACCAGGTTCAACCTACCATTTTTTCTTAAAATGTCCTGTACCAAGTCAGGAAAATGGCCATTGTTATATTATTGTTCGTTTCTGTGTGTTTTGCATTTAAGTGTTGTGTTTCTGTTGTGTAGTTGTTCTCCTCTTATATTTGATGTGTTTCCTTCAGTTTTAGTTTGTAACCCGGATTTGTTTTTTTCTCAATCGATTTATGAATTTCGAATAGCAGTATACTAAATCTAAATCTTTAGAAGTTTTGTTTTTTTACGTACGATGGAACTTGGAATTCTCTTACTACATATGAGTCCGCAGACAGACTCTCTGTATTATGCTATTATGGTAAACGTGGAACTTTTGAGTGCTGAGAGCTGAGATTACTATAACACTTATAGAATTCTCAGTTGAGAGGAACAAATAAAGATAAACTGTTCACGCATAATGAAGTCCACACAAAGAAAATTTATTGAGAACGATTTTTTTTAGTATGAAACTGTAACGAAGGTCAAAAATAGACCATCTCACTTCAGCGAACAGACCATCGCACTTCAGCGTGACCATCTCACTTCAGCGTCCCCATCGCACCTCCGAGTCCTACATATATAAATATCTCTCTCAATAGATTTGAAAACTGTTTTATGCTGAGTTCGAGACATATCGTCCCTTTGCCATATTTAATTAAAACTGCTTTAACTTTGTTTTGCATGATTCCTAAATCTTGCTCATCTTGATAAATCAATTCGGAGATTTCAATGAAGATGACCATAATTATTTGGGTATATTCGGATGTCCATGTATAACTTTTCGGCCTACGTTGTGCGATAAACAAAGCTACACATGTGAAATATACATAATACAATCAATAAGTGTATATTTCCCATTAATTGTTAGAGTCTTTCATTAATTATATTGCATTCTATATTGTACACGTTGCATTTGTTCTATCTAACGTTTGACCTATAGTTGCTAATCATTTTCATTTGGTTTATGATGAATAGTTGTCTCCTATCCCATCTTATCACATCTCCTTATTTTTATATGAATAAATGTGCTTTTCAGTGATATAAATTGGTGAGTATTTCTTCTGACTTAAAAATGCCACTTTAGAAATACTTTTACAATGCAACGGTCTTAATTTATTTTACTGCACCAAATGTGCCTTTCGACAATTAATGTTTCTTTCGAGATGATAGAAGCCAAGTAATAGAAACCCTGATACTAAACTTTGAGAGCTGATAAAAGAAAAATGGACATAAGTAAAGCCTTACCTGGCAGACAAGGAAGCAAAGCGATTAAGGAGGAAGTTTCATTCCTTAATCTAAAACTCCTACATCTAATAATAACCAGCAGAAAATAAGATGGTTGAATGTAGATTTCATAATAAAAATGTAAAAGGAAAAACATCACCGTAATCAGCCTCATAATAATGCAACAATAATACCATAAACTACGTTTTAAATCCGCTTACCTATATTTAAATGTGGAATCAAAGACACTTCAAATAAGGAGCTGTTTGTGTTCAGTACACATGTTAAGTTGTCTCCCTCGATATCTGTCACATTCAGTGTATGTAATAATGTATTCGTGTTCACGTCCTCAAACATACTTACAGAATCTGGCAGGCTATTAATAACAGGTGCCTGAAATAAGTTCAAATCGACATAAATCATTGGTAATCAAAAGGTACAGATCGAAAGTAAGTATACATACTTCTAGTTGTGGTAAACCTTCGTAAGATTTAACTTCGTTAAATATTATCTGTAGAACCTTCAAGTCAGATCTGAGGTTGAATATAAAGTGAAATTCACATTTTTGGTTGTATGTTCTTTACATCAAACGTTATTTATTTCTATTGTCACATTTTTAAATGCAGCTAACTATTTGTTTTACCATTCAGACAACCGTAGGTAACTAACTTTATGTGATGCATTTAAAAAATATTGAGCATTCGACTAAGAAAATTTAAAAACGCAACTTCAGTAGTAATGTACATTTCAACAAATTATTTAATAAATCAAAATAATAAATCATCTCTTCAAACAGAAATAACTATGCAAACTGCCATGCTTTGTGTGAGGGTAAAACAGCAATCTGTATCCATCAAATGAAATCCATTATTTTTTTTAGTGTATCGCTTTTGTTAAATGTCTTCCAAAAAGCAAGACATTGTTTTTTCTCTATTCAATGCAGCTAACAAGAACTTACCATGTTTCTAATCAAAGTTACTGTAAAATACCCCGTATTATTACGTCTTACATCGCTACATTCCACAGCCATCGTGTATAACGGGATTATGTCATAATTAAGATTTGTTCCACCTTTTATATAGATCCCATATTCTACAAAATTGTACACGAAAGTATTGAACATGTTAATGTATTGTAAATCTATCAAATAGTACTCATTCAAATAATTATTTTAATATAAGTATACGTTTCCTTTATTCCTTCATTTTTGGACGGTCTTAAATAGATTGTGTATTATCAAACTATAGGAATTGGGAATATAAAAGTGTATTCCCACTGTCCTTGATGATAAATAACACTTTATAAGTATAATGTAAGATAAAATGCATGTTTAACGTCTAGAAGAAATTATAACGGGATCATATCATATCAATACAATATGATTATTGCATTTGCTTTAACAGAGTGACGACATGAAACTGCAATGTTTAAGTGCTAGTTTACAAGGAAACGTCCAGTAGGAAATACATGTTGCCAACGGGACACCTTTTCTGACCCAAGACCAACCAGTTATGCGTTGTGCATATTTTGTTCATTATTTTAATTAGAATCGACCGGCATTACAACCCTACACCTAACCAAATCAAGTATACTGCATCGACAACAGTATATCGAGTTGTCATAGATGGCATATGATTATGTATAGTTTGCGCAATTATATGGTTTACAAAAATGTATAGGCATAAGAGTGACAGCGCTTAGTTTCGTTATATTAGATTTCGCCCATGAAATGCATCACGAATATTACTGTTTGTAATTTTAAAGAATGATAATATATCTGAAGTATTAGAAAGGATTAAACAGGCTAATTTTTCGTATTCCTTGTTTACGTGCAACTAGATAAAATATGAGTAAGCATACAGAAATATCATTATTTACCAATACATCAAAAATACATCTAACCTATATTTGATGGTGGAATCAAAGACACTTCAAATAATGAGCTGTTCGGGTTCAGTACACATGTTATGTTGTCTCCCTCGATATCCGTCACATTCAGTGTATGTAATAATGTATTCGTGTTCACGTCCTCCAACAAACTTACAGAACCTGGCAGGCTATTGATAACAGGTGCCTGAAATTATCGATCAGAATATATATTGAATGAAATTTCCAACTCACTTTTTCGACTAATTTTAAATAAATAAAATGGCCCAAAATAACGATACATAAGATTTTCGTTTTTTGAGAATTGCACAGGGGTAAAAGTAAGTGCAAAGCTATATCGCTTTTGGTCTTGAAGTTCTGTTATTATTTAGAATATGGTAATTAAGTATTGTAATAATTGGTACTGCATTTTTAAATACAGTTTTTCTTTCATTGTATCTTCTTTAAAAAAGGTTAAAGCTTTCTTGTTGGTCATTGTTGAATTGTACCTTCTCTAGTTTACACACGTCTACCTATAAGGTCCTTTATCTTGGGCATTAGCTTTTCTGCTGAAGAGCGATCATATATTACTCAATGAAAGTAGCACGTTAATATTTTTCATTTACAATAAAAGAATGTTAGCATTTATGAACTTTACGTATTCTCCTTCTACTGGAGAAGCATATGAAGTATTGAAAGATTTGATGTATGCTCCGAAATATTTGTTTAACACTCCGAGAACGTCTTGTTCATCCAATACTAGTACATGAGACTGTCCAAAAATTGATAACAGAATATAAACTGCAAAACTTTTGTAACGTTTTCTTGATCTTCATATCTAAAAATTCTATAAACACTTACTGAATTTCTTATTAGATTAACCATAAAATGTCCAGTATCATTTCGTCTTGTATCGCTACATTCTACAGTCATCGAATATAAAGGTGTCATGTCGTAATTAAGATTTGTTCCACCTTTTAGATAGATCCCATACTCTACAAAATTGTACACTAAGGTATTGAACATATTAATGTTGTGTATATCTATCACAATCTCATCCACATATGGAAGTAAAAGTATACTTTTTCTTGTTTTCTACATTTAGGACGGTCTTCAATAGGTAATTAATTATCATATAATATTTATTAGGAATATAAAAGTGTGTTCCTCTCTGCCATTGACGAAAATCAACACTTTAATATATATAATGTAATATAAAACGAATGTTTAACGTCAAGCAGCAATTAATGTGCTATTCTGAACGCGATTGAATCCATACGATATATTTATGGCCTCTGCTTAAAATAGACCAAAATCATGAAGTGGGAATTTTTCTACAGTGATAGTTTACAAAGAAACAACCGATGGGAAAACATGTTAGCCATCGGGTAATATATTTGTTGTAAAGAACAAATTAGATTTGATGTAATGGAAAGGATATCACCTGGCGAATTCTTTATGCTCATTTTGTAGCTGCATCTTAATAAAATATCAATAAGCATAAAGAATCATCACTGTTTAACAATGTATTAACATTTCATCTAACCTGTATTTGATGGTGGAATCAAAGTCACTTCAAATAATGAGCTGTTCGAGTTCAGTAGACATGTTATGTTGTCTCCCTCGATATCCGTCACATTCAATGTATGTAATAATGTATTTGTGTTCACGTCCTCCAACAAACTTACAGAATCTGGCAGGCTATTGATAACTGGTGCCTGAAATTAGCAATCATAATATATGTCAGCAACGTTTTCGCCGAAATTGAATTTAGTAAATTGTCCCAAAATAACTTCCAATAATTTTGCAAAGTCGACACTATAGACAACGCTGAATAGCTTTTAGTTCTCAAGTGACTTTCGAGTTCTGTTATCATTTAGGATATGCAAATTAATTATTGGACATAATATTGATGCATATTCAAATACATTTTTCCGTTAATTTTCTTTTTCCAAAACAAAAGTAGAAGCTTAATTATACAACTTTACCTAGTGTTGGGGTTTGTTGTTTTTATGTTCTCTAGTGTATACAGCTCTAAATGTACTATCCTAACTGTTGAGTGCAAGCTTTTCTGATGAAGAGCAATCACATATTACACAACGAACGTAGCAAGTTAAATTTGTATTTCTTATAAAGAATGTGTATAGCAGTTATGAATTTTCACGTATCCTCTTTTTCCTTGGCAAGTACTGGAAGTATTAAAAACATGTTTTTGCTCAAAAACGTTTTGTTGAACATTCTGCGTAGGTTTCGTTCAAGCTGTACGTAAAACTGTTTAAGATTTAATACAGAATATAAAGTACAAACTGTTTGTAAAATGACCTTGATCTTTATATTCATATATTATGAATAAACTTACTGAATTTCTTATCAAATTAACTGTATAATTTCCAGTATCATTTCGTCTTTTGTCGCTACATTCTACAGTCATCGAGTATGAATGAGTTATGTCATAATCAAGATGTGTTCCACCTTTTAGATAGATCCCATATTCTACAAAATTTTACACGAAGGTATTGAAAATGTTAATTTATTGTTTATCTATCATAAAATCATCCGCATATGCAACTGAAAGTATAATTTTCCTTGTTTTCTTCATATTTAAACAGTCTGAAATAGACTGTTTTTATCATTCTATACGTATAGTGAATGTAAATGTGTTTTCTCTCTGTCATTCAAGATAATCAACATTTAATAAATATAATACAAGATAAATATAATATAAGATAAAATGGACTTAAAACGTCCAGCATCGATAACATAATAATAACATACTATTCTGGACGCGAACATATCAATACGATATGATTATGGCCTCGGAATTTAATAGACATATCAAGCTGAAATTTTAGTTTGCAAGGAAACATCTACTAAGAATACATGTAAGACATCGGGTACATTTCTCTGACCCTGGACCGACAAGTCTTCGCTCTTTTTGGTGTGTATATAGAAAAATACATCTAATCGGTTCACATCGAGAGCATAGCAATAGTTTAAATGTTCATAGTCTGCTCAATTATCAGGTATACAAAAATGCATGTCTCTATCAACATTTTTACTTCATGTCACTCATTAAATATCTAAGCACTTTAGTCCGTAAGATAACTTATCACCCCTGCAATGTACCAATAATTCCTCAGTTTGTGATCTCAAAGAACTTGCATTAGGTATGTATCCTCGGAAGGATATAGAGTTTTGTCTATGCATGCTCTTTGTTTCTAAATAAAATGTCAATAAGCATAAATAAATATCATTGTTTACAAAACATTAAAAATGCATCTAACCTGTATTTGATGGTGTAATCAAAGTCACTTCAAATAATGAGCTGTTCGAGTTCAGTAGACATGTTATGTTGTCTCCCTCGATATCCGTCACATTCAATGTATGTAATAATGTATTTGTGTTCACGTCCTCCAACAAACTTACAGAATCTGGCAGGCTATTGATAACTGGTGCCTGAAATCAGCAATCACAATATATGTCAGCAACGTTTTTGCCGAATTGAATTCAGTAAATTATCCCAAAATAACTTCCAAGAATTTTGCAATGTCGCCACTATAGACAACGCTGAATAGCTTTTAGTTCTCAAGTGACTTTCGGGGACTCGGTGGCCGAGTGGTCTAAGTAGTTACTACTGTAATCACTAGCCAGTCAACACTGAGGTTGTGAGTTCAAACCCCGTTCGTGCGGGTGCACTCGACTCCAATCTTAATTGACTAGGATTGTCAGTTTTCCTATCGAAGGTCGGGGGTTTTCTCCGGGCACTCCGGCTTCCTCCACCAATAAAAACTGGCCGCCACGAAATAGCCAAAAAGCGGTGCTTAAAAGTGGTGTTTAAACACCAAAAATCAATCAATCAAATCAAGTTCTGTTATCATTTAGGATATGCAAATTAATTATTGGAAATAATTTTGATGCATATTTAAATACATTTTTCCGTTAATTTTCTTTTTCCAAAACAAAAGAAGAAGCTTAATTATACAACTGTACCTATTGTTGGGGTTTGTTGTTTTTATGTTCTCTAGTGTATACACCTCTAAATGTACTATCATAACTGTTGAGTTTAAGCTTTTCTGATGAAGAGCAATCACATATTACACAACGAACGTAGCAAGTTAAATTTATATTTCTTATAAAGAATGTGTATAGCAATTATGAATTTCACGTATCCTCTTTTTTCTTGGCAAGTACTGGAAGTTTTAAAAACTGTTTTGCTCCAAAACGTTTTGTTTAACATTCTGCGTAGGTTTCGTTCAAGCTGTACGTGAAACTGTTTAAGATTTAATACAGAATATAAAGTACAAACTGTTTGTAAAATGACCTTGATCTTTATATTCATATATTATGAATAAACTTACTGAATTTCTTATCAAATTAACTGTATAATTTCCAGTATCATTTCGTCTTTTGTCGCTACATTCTACAGTCATCGAGTATGAATGAGTTATGTCATAATCAAGATGTGTTCCACCTTTTAGATAGATCCCATATTCTACAAAATTTTACACGAAGGTATTGAAAATGTTAATTTATTGTTTATCTATCATAAAATCATCCGCATATGCAACTGAAAGTATAATTTTCCTTGTTTTCTTCATATTTAAACAGTCTGAAATAGACTGTTTTTATCATTCTATACGTATAGTGAATGTAAATGTGTTTTCTCTCTGTCATTCAAGATAATCAACATTTAATAAATATAATACAAGATAAATATAATATAAGATAAAATGGACTTAAAACGTCCAGCATCGATAACATAATAATAACATACTATTCTGGACGCGAACATATCAATACGATATGATTATGGCCTCGGAATTTAATAGACATATCAAGCTGAAATTTTAGTTTGCAAGGAAACATCTACTAAGAATACATGTAAGACATCGGGTACATTTCTCTGACCCTGGACCGACAAGTCTTCGCTCTTTTTGGTGTGTATATAGAAAAATACATCTAATCGGTTCACATCGAGAGCATAGCAATAGTTTAAATGTTTATAGTCTGCTCAATTATCAGGTATACAAAAATGCATGTCTCTATCAACATTTTTACTTCATGTCACTCATTAAATATCTAAGCACTTTAGTCCGTAAGATAACTTATCACCCCTGCAATGTACCAATAATTCCTCAGTTTGTGATCTCAAAGAACTTGCATTAGGTATGTATCCTCGGAAGGATATAGAGTTTTGTCTATGCATGCTCTTTGTTTCTAAATAAAATGTCAATAAGCATAAATAAATATCATTGTTTACAAAACATTAAAAATGCATCTAACCTGTATTTGATGGTGGAATCAAAGTCACTTCAAATAATGAGCTGTTCGAGTTCAGTAGACATGTTATGTTGTCTCCCTCGATATCCGTCACATTCAATGTATGTAATAATGTATTTGTGTTCACGTCCTCCAACAAACTTACAGAATCTGGCAGGCTATTGATAACTGGTGCCTGAAATTAGCAATCACAATATATGTCAGCAACGTTTTCGCCGAAATTGAATTTAGTAAATTGTCCCAAAATAACTTCCAAGAATTTTGCAAAGTCGACACTATAGACAACGCTGAATAGCTTTTAGTTATCAAGTGACTTTCGATTTCTGTTATCATTTAGGATATACAAATTAATTATTGGAAATAATTTTGATGCATATTTTAATACATTTTTCCGTTAATTTTCTTTTTCCAAAACAAAAGTAGAAGTTTATTTATACAACTTTACCTATTGTTGGGTTTTCTTGTTTTTATGTTCTCTAGTGTATACAGCTCTAAATGTACTATCCTAACTGTTGAGTTTAAGCTTTTCTGATTAAGAGCAAGTTAAATTTGTATTTATTATAAAGAATGTGTATAGCAATTATGAATTTTCACGTATCCTCTTTTTCCTTGGCAAGTACTGGAAGTATTAAAAAAAACTGTTTTGCTCCAAAACGTGTTGTTTAACATTCTGCGTAGGTTTCGTTCAAGCTGTACGTGAAACTGTTTAAGATTTAATACAGAATATAAAGTGAAAACACCTTGATCTTTATATTCATATATTATGGATAAACTTACTGAATTTCTTATCAAATTAACTGTATAATTTCCAGTATCATTTCGTCTTTTGTCGCTACATTCTACAGTCATCGAGTATGAATGAGTTATGTCATAATCAAGATTTGTTCCACCTTTTAGATAGATCCCATATTCTACAAAATTTTACACGAAGGTATTGAAAATGTTAATTTATTGTTTATCTATCATAAAATCATCCGCATATGCAACTGAAAGTATAATTTTCCTTGTTTTCTTCATATTTAGACAGTCTGAAATAGACTGTTTTTATCATTCTATACGTATAGTGAATGTAAATGTGTTTTCTCTCTGTCATTGAAGATAATCAACATTTAATAAATATAATATAAGATAGTTATAATATAAGATAAAATGGACTTAAAACGTCCAGCATCAATAGCATAATAATAACATACTATTCTGGACGCGAACATATCAATACGATATGATTATGGCCTCGGAATTTAATAGACATATCAAGCTGAAATTTTAGTTTGTAAGGAAACATCTACTAGGAATACATGTAAGACATCGGGTACATTTCTCTGACCCTGGACCGACAAGTCTTCGCTCTTCTTGGTGTGTATATAGAAAAATACATCTGATCGGTTCACATCGAGAGCATAGCAATAGTTTAAATGTTTATAGTCTGCTCAATTATCAGGTATACAAAAATGCATATGTCTCTATCAACATTTTTACTTCATGTCACTCATTAAATATTTAAGCACTTTAGTCAGTAAGATAACTTTTCACCCCTGCAATGTACCAATAATTCCTCAGTTTGTGATCTCAAAGAACTTGCATTACCCCGGTAGGTGTGTATCCTCGGAAGGATATAGAGTTTTGTCTATGCATGCTCTTTGTTTCTAAATAAAATGTCAATAAGCATAAAGAAATATCATTGTTTACAAAACATTAAAAATGCATCTAACCTGTATTTGATGGTGGAATCAAAGTCACTTCAAATAATGAGCTGTTCGAGTTCAGTAGACATGTTATGTTGTCTCCCTCGATATCCGTCACATTCAATGTATGTAATAATGTATTTGTGTTCACGTCCTCCAACAAACTTACAGAATCTGGCAGGCTATTGATAACTGGTGCCTGAAATTAGCAATCACAATATATGTCAGCAACGTTTTCGCCGAAATTGAATTTAGTAAATTGTCCCAAAATAACTTCCAAGAATTTTGCAAAGTCGACACTATAGACAACGCTGAATAGCTTTTAGTTATCAAGTGACTTTCGATTTCTGTTATCATTTAGGATATACAAATTAATTATTGGAAATAATTTTGATGCATATTTTAATACATTTTTCCGTTAATTTTCTTTTTCCAAAACAAAAGTAGAAGTTTATTTATACAACTTTACCTATTGTTGGGTTTTCTTGTTTTTATGTTCTCTAGTGTATACAGCTCTAAATGTACTATCCTAACTGTTGAGTTTAAGCTTTTCTGATTAAGAGCAAGTTAAATTTGTATTTATTATAAAGAATGTGTATAGCAATTATGAATTTTCACGTATCCTCTTTTTCCTTGGCAAGTACTGGAAGTATTAAAAAAAACTGTTTTGCTCCAAAACGTGTTGTTTAACATTCTGCGTAGGTTTCGTTCAAGCTGTACGTGAAACTGTTTAAGATTTAATACAGAATATAAAGTGAAAACACCTTGATCTTTATATTCATATATTATGGATAAACTTACTGAATTTCTTATCAAATTAACTGTATAATTTCCAGTATCATTTCGTCTTTTGTCGCTACATTCTACAGTCATCGAGTATGAATGAGTTATGTCATAATCAAGATTTGTTCCACCTTTTAGATAGATCCCATATTCTACAAAATTTTACACGAAGGTATTGAAAATGTTAATTTATTGTTTATCTATCATAAAATCATCCGCATATGCAACTGAAAGTATAATTTTCCTTGTTTTCTTCATATTTAGACAGTCTGAAATAGACTGTTTTTATCATTCTATACGTATAGTGAATGTAAATGTGTTTTCTCTCTGTCATTCAAGATAATCAACATTTAATAAATATAATATAAGATAGTTATAATATAAGATAAAATGGACTTAAAACGTCCAGCATCAATAGCATAATAATAACATACTATTCTGGACGCGAACATATCAATACGATATGATTATGGCCTCGGAATTTAATAGACATATCAAGCTGAAATTTTAGTTTGTAAGGAAACATCTACTAGGAATACATGTAAGACATCGGGTACATTTCTCTGACCCTGGACCGACAAGTCTTCGCTCTTCTTGGTGTGTATATAGAAAAATACATCTGATCGGTTCACATCGAGAGCATAGCAATAGTTTAAATGTTTATAGTCTGCTCAATTATCAGGTATACAAAAATGCATATGTCTCTATCAACATTTTTACTTCATGTCACTCATTAAATATTTAAGCACTTTAGTCAGTAAGATAACTTTTCACCCCTGCAATGTACCAATAATTCCTCAGTTTGTGATCTCAAAGAACTTGCATTACCCCGGTAGGTGTGTATCCTCGGAAGGATATAGAGTTTTGTCTATGCATGCTCTTTGTTTCTAAATAAAATGTCAATAAGCATAAAGAAATATCATTGTTTACAAAACATTAAAAATGCATCTAACCTGTATTTGATGGTGTAATCAAAGTCACTTCAAATAATGAGCTGTTCGAGTTCAGTAGACATGTTATGTTGTCTCCCTCGATATCCGTCACATTCAATGTATGTAATAATGTATTTGTGTTCACGTCCTCCAACAAACTTACAGAATCTGGCAGGCTATTGATAACTGGTGCCTGAAATTAGCAATCACAATATATGTCAGCAACGTTTTCGCCGAAATTGAATTTAGTAAATTGTCCCAAAATAACTTCCAAGAATTTTGCAAAGTCGACACTATAGACAACGCTGAATAGCTTTTAGTTCTCAAGTGACTTTCGAGTTCTGTTATCATTTAGGATATGCAAATTAATTATTGGAAATAATTTTGATGCATATTTTAATACATTTTTCTGTTAATTTTCTTTTTCCAAAACAAAAGTAGAAGTTTAATTATACAACTTTATCTATTGTTGGGTTTTGTTGTTTTTATGTTCTCTAGTGTATACAGCTCTTAATGTACTATCCTAACTGTTGTGTTTAAGCTTTTCTGATGAAAAGCAATCACATATTACACAACGAACGTAGCAAGTTAAATTTGTATTTCTTATAAAGAATGTGTATAGCAATTATGAATTTTCACGTATCCCCCTTTTCCTTGGCAAGTACTGGAAGTATTAAAAAAAACTGTTTTGCTCCAAAACGTGTTAATTAACATTCTGCGTAGGTTTCGTTCAAGCTGTACGTGAAACTGTTTAAGATTTAATACAGAATATAAAGTGCAAACTGTTTGTAAAATGACCTTGATCTTTATATTCATTATATTATGGATAAACTTACTGAATTTCTTATCAAATTAACTGTATAATTTCCAGTATCATTTCGTCTTTTGTCGCTACATTCTACAGTCATCGAGTATGAATGAGTTATGTCATAATCAATATTTGTTCCACCTTTTAGATAGATCCCATATTCTACAAAATTTTACACGAAGGTATTGAAAATGTTAATTTATTGTTTATCTATCATAAAATCATCCGTATATGCAACTGAAAGTATAATTTTCCTTGTTTTCTTCATATTTAGACAGTCTGAAATAGACTGTTTTTATCATTCTATCCGTATAGTGAATGTAAATGTGTTTTCTCTCTGTCATGTAAGATAATCAACATTTAATAAATATAATATAAGATAAATATGATATAAGATAAAATGGACTTAAAACGTCCAGCATCAATAACATAATAATAACATACTATTCTGGACGCGAACATATCAATACGATATGATTATGGCCTCGGAATTTAATAGACATATCAAGCTGAAATTTTAGTTTTCAAAGAAACATCTACTAGGAATACCTGTAAGCCATCAGGTACATTTCTCTGTCTCTGGACCGATAAGTCTTCGCTCTTCTTGGTGTGTATATAGAAAAATACATCTAATCGGTTCACATCGAGAGCATAGCAATAGTTTAAATGTTAATAGTCTGCTCAATTATCAGGTATACAAAAATGCATATGTCTCTATCAACATTTTTACTTCATGTCACTCATTAAATATCTAAGAACTTTAGTCCGTAAGATAACTTTTCACCCCTACAATATACCAATTATTCCTCAATTTGTGATTTCAAAGAACTTGCATTAGATGTGTATCCTCGGAAGGATATAGAGTTTTGTCTATTCATGCTCTTTTTTCTAAATAAAATGTCAATAAGCATAAAGAAATATCATTGTTTACAAAACATTAAAAATGCATCTAACCTGTATTTGATGGTGGAATCAAAGTCACTTCAAATAATGAGCTGTTCGAGTTCAGTAGACATGTTATGTTGTCTCCCTCGATATCCGTCACATTCAATGTATGTAATAATGTATTTGTGTTCACGTCCTCCAACAAACTTACAGAATCTGGCAGGTTATTGATAACTGGTGCCTGAAATTAGCAATCACAATATATGTCAGCAACGTTTTCGCCGAAATTCAATTTAGTAAATTGTCCCAAAATAACTTCCAAGAATTTTGCAAAGTCGACACTATAGACAACGCTGAATAACTATTAGTTCTCAAGTGACTTTTGAGTTCTGTTATCATTTAGGATATGCAAATTAATTATTGGAAATAATTTTGATGCATATTTAAATACATTTTTCCGTTAATTTTCTTTTTCCAAAACAAAAGTAGAAGCTTAATTATACAACTTTACCTATTGTTGGGTTTTGTTGTTTTTATGTTCTCTAGTGTATACAGCTTTAAATGTACTATCATAACTGTTGAGTTCAAGCATTTCTGATGAAGAGCAAGTTAAATTTGTATTTCTTATAAAGAATGTGTATAGCAATTATGAATTTTCACGTATCCTCTTTTTCCTTGGCATGTACTGGAAGTATTAAAAAAAAACTGTTTTGCTCCAAAACGTTTTGTTTAACATTCTGCGTAGGTTTCGTTCAAGCTGTACGTGAAACTGTTTAAGATTTAGTACAGAATATAAAGTGCAAACTGTTTGTAAAATGACCTTGATCTTTATATTCATATATTATGGATAAACTTACTGAATTTCTTATCAAATTAACTGTATAATTTCCAGTATCATTTCGTCTTTTGTCGCTACATTCTACAGTCATCGAGTATGAATGAGTTATGTCATAATCAAGATTTGTTCCACCTTTTAGATAGATCCCATATTCTACAAAATTTTACACGAAGGTATTGAAAATGTTAATTTATTGTTTATCTATCATAAAATCATCCGCATATGCAACTGAAAGTATAATTTTCCTTGTTTTCTTCATATTTAGACAGTCTGAAATAGACTGTTTTTATCATTCTATACGTATAGTGAATGTAAATGTGTTTTCCCTCTGTCATTTAAGATAATCAACATTGAATAGATATAATATAAGATAAATATGATATAAAATAAAATGGACTTAAAACGTCCAGCATCAATAACATAATAATAACATACTATTCTGGACGCGAACATAAGCAATAGTTTAAATGTTTATAGTCTGCTCAATTATCAGGTATACAAAAATGCATATGTCTCTATCAACATTTTTACTTCATTTAACTCATTAAATATCTAAGCACTTTATTCCGTAAGATTACTTTTCACCCCTGCAATGTACCAATGATTCCTCAGTTTGTGATCTCAAAGAACTTGCATTAGATGTGTATCCTCGGAAGGATATAGGGTTTTGTCTATGCATGCTCTTTGTTTCTAAATAAAATGTCAATAAGCATAAAGAAATATCATTGTTTCCAAAACATTAAAAATGCATCTAACCTGTATTTGATGGTGTAATCAAAGTCACTTCAAATAATGAGCTGTTCGAGTTCAGTAGACATGTTATGTTGTCTCCCTCGATATCCGTCACATTCAATGTATGTAATAATGTATTTGTGTTCACGTCCTCCAACAAACTTACAGAATCTGTCAGACTTATAATAACAGGTGCCTGAAATTTGCGATCAACAATGAATGAATTTTTTCAGCAACTTTATCAACGAATGTAAATTTAATAAATTGTCCCAAAATAACGGTACTTTAGAGTTTTGTTTGTATCCTGGAATTGCACTGGTTGCTATAAAGTGGGCAGGACAACAGCAAAGCCAACGGGGCACAATATTTTTTCCCAGACCGACCAGTATTTGCTTTATCTCCTTATACATAGTGCCTTACAGCCTATCAACAAATATCCATTTGAAATTGAGGGAGGTTTAGCTAGCTACAAAACAAGGTTTAACCCATTATTTTCTTCGGAACATGTATGTACCAAGTCAGGAATTTGTTTTGTTTGTTGATAATGTTGGATATTGTAAGTTTTTAATGGATTTCAACTTGAATTTACTTTTGAGGTCGGTATGTTTGTTCTCCTTTTTTAGTAATCGACATTTGCAGTTGACGCCTTTGTTGAAATCTAATAACAAATGAAGATCAAAGATTTTTAAAGACCTCATCTTTGATGAAAGAATTCATAGTTGGTGTTTTCTAGTGTTCAGTGGTCTGTCGGTTGAAATAGTTTACCGTTTGTTTTTTTCCAGTTTTTATTGACTTCCCTTTTTAGCTCACCTGGCCAAAAGGGCCAAGTGAGGTTTTATTCATCACTAAGCGTCCGTCGTCCGTCGGCGTCTGTCGGCGTCCGTTAACTTTTACAAAAATCTATTCCTTTGAAACTACTGGGCCAAATGGTATAAAACTTCATCATTACGGTATGTATTTAAAATAATGTGTCTGAGACCCAGCCTGCCGACAAAAATAACCGACATGGCTAAAAATAGAACATAGGGGTAAAATGCAATGTTTGGCCATTATCTTGAAAACCATTAAAAATAAAGAAAATCTGAAACGGGCAAAAATGTTTAGAATAGTGAATCTACATCCTGTTTTTTGACATCGAAACTATCAGACGGCTTATCATATGAGTTATTGCCCTTAAACGACGAATTTTACCTTTTTTTTATTGTTGCCCATTATCTCGAAAATTTTAAAAGATACAAAGAAAACTTAATAGCAGGACAAGATCTACATATAAATCAACATGATTGAAATTGTTAGTCGACTATGGAACGCCACAGCTGGCTTATGTGGAACTCTTATATTACGTTATGTTGTTTTATTATTACTTGATGATATGTTGTCTTTACATAATGATGTTTTGATATAACTCAATATGGCATAGTCATTACTTAATAATATTTCGATATTTCACGATATGGTTTCATATTGACTTGATATAGTTTTATCATTACTTGATATGGTTTTGTCATTAATCAATGTGGGTTTGTCATTAGTCGATGTGGTTTCACCATTATTTAATGTGGTTGTTTCATTAGGCAATGTGGTTTTAACATGACTTGATGTGTATGTGACTTAGCGTAATGTAGTTGTTTCATTACATGATGTGGTTTTGTTGTTTCGTAATGATGATTTGCCAATTCTTTATATGGTTTTAACATTACGTAATGATGTTTTAAAATTTGACAATTTGACACTACATGGTGTGTTGTTTTCAGTATTTGATGTGGTCCTTTCATTCTTTGATGTGGTTATCACATTACGTGGTGGAGGTAAAACCACGTGACCATTTCGGAAAAACTAGTTATATTTTTAAACCGATTTCACTATGTCGTTTGTTTAATGTCCTTTCAATGGGTTTCGCCATCCATTGAGTTCAAGTTCAAATTAAAGTTCGACTTGTTGTTCAGAGTTATTCGGTATGAAAAAGGGGAACGGCAGTCAAAAATAAGAAAAAAGTACTAAACAATTTACAGTATTTCGGCCATACGGGGGTAATCCCTAAACAATTTGGTCCTTCCGTTTTTTTTTCTTTCTAAGTTCTCAAATGGAAGCAGTATATATAATAATTCGTGAAAGATTCCACGGAATTCTCGTCTCGCCTGATATTGCTGCTGTCAGTGTAAAAGCGTAATGTTGACTACATGTATTTGTACATTTATCGGTAAATACAAAATTAAAAAAAAAATGTTTTTCTGTAGATGCTTTAAATTGATCTTGAAGAATAACTCCTATACAAGTTTTATACTAATCAATTGAGTTTTTCAAATTTATCATACCAAAACAGTATAATTCGGTAATATTTAATGCAAAAAAAAACCTATATAGAAATAAGAAAATGTGGTATGATTGCCAATGAGACAACTCTCAACCAAATATTTACCACATGACGTAGAAGTTTTAAACAACTATATTTGACTGTATAGTCTTCAACAATGAGCAAAACCCATACCACATAGTATGCTATAAAAGCTCCCGAAATGAAAAATGTAAAATCAATTTAAACGAGAAACCTGACAATCTAAATGATGAAGACGCCGACGTCACTAACCACAACGAAATATAGGTTTGTTATGTCTCACTGCCGCTACATTAATGTCCCAGGTTCAACACAAAAATCAAAAGACTTGTACTTTATTGTCGGCAATGAGACACTTTAAATCAACTCACATTAAAGTTACAGGGAAATGGGGGGATCGGAATAAGCGACAAACATCAATTCTATAAAATATGAATTCTTTTATTTTTTTAGCCTGTATAATTATTTGAACATATACGAATATCAATCTGTTATTATTATAAATTGATTACTCTGATATATATCGCACCAATTGAAACAACAAACTTTTTTGGAATATCTGTTTCACAAGTGACAACGGATATGTTCTAGTTTTCGTACCACAACCCCGTCATCTATTCCTCGAACGGGAACTACCAAATAAAACCAAATCACTGGGTTTATACTTTCACGAATAACACGACGGCTACCACACGTTGAGCAGAATCTGCTTAACCTTCTGGAGCACGAGATCATCACCAATGGATTTATATTACCCAGTAATACCGATCTATTGATTTAAGCCTATTGGAACTTTTTTTTACATTTTCTTATGTTGTGCTGTTACATTACAGTCCGAATTTAGGATAGGGTTTAGCGCTCACATACATGTCAAACTCCGCCACGTACACTTTCTGTATATGCCTGCCCAAGACACTTGAAGAACCTGTGGTTCAATGGTTGTCATTGTTTCATGTGTGTCAAATTTGTTTTTTGTTGATTGTTTTGTTATAAATTTGAATTGTTTCACATTTTCACGTGGTGGCCTTTGTAGCCTTTTTTTACTATACGGTGCGTTGAAGGCTGTACGGTTGCCTATGATTGCTTACATCCATTACTGTGACATTTAAACTTTAGGAGATAGTAATCTCATTGGCAATCATTACACATCCAACTTTATTTCAATTTCTATGTTGTGTTTTGTATACTGTAACATTGTTTATGTTTTGTACAAATATCCCTCAGCCCTCTTTTCGGAAGCCCGAGCAAAAGCCCTTGGTCTTTGATAAAAAAAATTAAATACCGTGACGAACTCATATTAAATTACTCCAAT